AAGCAGAGTAGTATGAGGTCTTTAATATTCATACTGATATGTGCTTCTTTGACAGTGGTGCATATAATTTGTTGGATACACGAATTTTATCCAATGATAATAATTTGGCTGACTTGATAGAAATGTATGTAAATGGCTGCATGCTCTGTGATAGTGAGTTAAAATGTGTTATCTTTGTTCTAACCTTGATTTAATCTGTTTACTCTGCCTTTCTTTCCTTTTTTGTTGGTTTATACAAGCTACATTTGTATTTGTTCAGCCTGTGTTATTGTTACGGTGTGAGCCTGGACTCACAGCCTTTGCTTGTTTGTACATAAGCTCGATAAAGTTACTCAGGTAGGAACCTTCCTGAGCGAAATGGATTCCTCGAACGTCCCCCTTTAATGTGACACTGCTGCTCCGAACAATCACTTCCGTAAACACGCAGTTCTCTTCCTGTTGCTTTCGCGTGGTTTTTGTTGGGTTTTGTTTTCCGGAAGCGTGATTCCTTTGATCAAGCTAGTTAACGCCACAGTATCGAGAGATGTAACGAGCGAGTCTCGTTTCCAGCTCTGCCTTTCAGCTTAACAAGCAAAGACCAGCGTTAGCTGCCTGGTGGGTTATGGAAATAGACGGTCGAGACTTTCTGAAGACCCCTGCTGTGAAGACGGTCAGGTTTGGAGGTAGTGTTGCGGAAACGTTAGAGAAACACAAACACGTGAGTTGTATCTTAGGGTTGTCATTCTTGGAAAATGATAAAGAGAGATATTAGGGTTGTTGATTTTGGTGACACATCCACGAGATGGTCCACTAAGTTATTAAATGAATCTAGACCTTCCTGCTGGCCTGTCTGTGGATTCTGCTGACCTTCGTAAAGTTGTTTACAAACACCTCTACGTTTCCTACGGTGTTGGCGAACTGCTCAGCTGTTTCTCCTTGTTTTTAAGGGAGACTCGAGTGATTATGAACTCCTGAAACATCAGCTGGTTGATCCTGAGATAAAGGTAAGCGTTAGTGTGAGGGCACCCTGTGGTGTGGTGGACTTTGCTTCTCAATGAACGCCCTCTCCTCCGACAGGATGCTCAGATCATCAACTGGCTGCAGGAATTTCGGTCTTGTGTGACCCACCTGACCAAGGATCATGAACAGCTCATTTATACTATACTGGTGAGTGTAAATATTAACACGAT